GTTGGAGTCTCTCTCACCTCTAGCAATCACAGAGTATTTTGGGATAAAATTTCCTAAACAAAAGTAATGGAAATATGGAGCTACGGTTACCATATTTGAACTTTCAAAAAAGAGGGAGTGTATTTGTAGCAGTATCTACCAACTCACGTTGTATTACAACACATTTGCATAACATGCTCTGGAAGTGACAACTACACTTTTCACTGGTAAAAAATATAAAAAATAAAATTATGTCCACCGCTGCATAACATGCTCTGGAAGTGACAACTACACTTTTCACTGGCTCCTGATATCTCAAGTAATCTTTATATGGAGTTTGATTTTGTCCTGACAAATTGTTGTATGTTAGTGGGAAGGAAGGTGGAAGAAGCACTGAGGTCAATGCTCTCACTACTACTACCTTTGGTAGGGGTGTGTGTGGGAGAAGACATCTGTCTGTCTAGAAAGATTCTAAGCTAGGAAAGAATTTTAAAGACATCAATGCCATAGTAGAAAACAATACTCCCTATTAGTTTACACAGCTGTCAGCCAAATAATGGGAAATTATTGGCTGGAGTCTCTCTCACCTCTAGCAATCACAGAGTATTTTGGGATAAAATTTCCTAAACAAAAGTAATGGAAATATGGAGCTACGGTTACCATATTTGAACTTTCAAAAAAGAGGGAGTGTATTTGTAGCAGTATCTACCAACTCACGTTGTATTACAACACATTAATACAATGTGAGTTGATAAATACTGATACAGATAAGACACTCCCTCTCAGGGGTGTATCTGTATCTACCAACTCACATTGTATTAATGTGTTGTAATACAATGTGAGTTGGTAGATGATACAAACACACTCCCTCTTTTTTGAAAGTTCAAATACAGTAACCCTAAGAGCTCACAATTAGGTTTAGAAAAGCAATTAGGGAGGCATAAGGTCTCTTTTCTGCAGGATTTGGGGGGGGGGGGGGGGTGAAGAACTAGGTTTTTAGGTGATTCCCCCCCCCCAAGACAACCTGTTTCACACTTAGCCTCTAAGGACATTACTATCTCTCTTCCAAGCCTGAACAGCGAGGAAACAATTAAGCTATGCAGCAGGGTAGAAAGGAGTGAACTGAAAATTGGAAGCAGCAACTTCCAAAGAGTATTTTACTGTGAAATTTCCCCCCTTTACAAAGTGCTCACTTCTTTCTGTAAAGCAGCAGCACTGTCTAGTGCTTAAGTACAATGAAGAATACTTCCTATTCTCTGTATTTGCAGTCTCATTCTATGGCCAATTTAAACTAGTTCAAAACTTGCCTTGCTTTTGGAACAGTAAGTAATGAAATCTGAGATAGTTCTAAGTTCCTGCAGGAGAAAGTTCTACAGTATTAAACCAGCTTCTTGAGAATGCCCTGTCTACTGTACAAACTAGCTTCACCCTTTAGCAGATCCTTTAATTGTGTTAGGGAAGTAGTACTGTCAGGGCAGAAGATGTATTCTATAGCCAAGGTCCCTCATCCATCTGGTGCTGTTGTCTACTTTCGTTATCAAGTAAAGGATAAAATTACTCTTTCAGAACAAGGAAAATCAGCCATAAGTAGTCAAAGTCATAATGAAATGATTTGGAGAAACACCTTGTTTCATTTATGCTATTATTAATCGTTATCTCTGTCACATTACCAGAGTTTAAGGGAAGCAGCCAGGTCACTGCTGCGCCCATGGGGGGGGGGGTTGCCCCGAAAGTTGGTACAAAGGGGGCCATGTGAGGTGTCAAACAAAAGCTTATTGTCTACGGATTCTGTATATGCTCTTAATATATCTGAATAATGTCTGTGTGGAGTTACGAATACGTACTCTGTTAATACTGTAAATTTCTCTGTATGGGATTAAGCAAGAGATGAAGAATGGACATGATAATGAGCAAGTCTCCATAGAACAATAGCCCTCTATAGGCCAAGGACGCACCTCAAGAATGGTGACTGATACCTAAGGGCTACCAGCAGGGAACACAGGGATAGGCCACGAACCAGGTGACCTGCTGCAGCCAAGAACAGACCAGGAAGGAGGTATAAAGATGCCATGTGGCAGCCTCCATTTTGGTCTTCAGATCTGCTCCTGACTCCAGATGTGGCCTCGCAGGGAATCACGAGCTGGAAAGAACTGTGGACCCATCCGGACATAGAATGTACACCAAAGACTTTTAAGCCAGCAGTTGTAACATCTCTGCTGCGAGCCTGCATCAAGAACTGGGAGATTTGATGCATGTAATGTATGATACTTTAACAACCTCTCATGCTTTTTGTTTTTAGTAATAAGCCTTTAGATTTTAGATTCTAAAGGATTGGCTCAGCATGATCTTGTGGGTAAGGGCCAGAGGGTAGATCGACCTAGGATCTCTGTCTGGTTTCTTGGAACCAGACAGAACTGGTTTGGGGAAGGTAAGATTGGGCTCTAAAACCCCTCACCTGTGTATGATGCCCGGGGCCATCTTGGGCACGGATATTGCTGGGGTGCCAAAGGGGTTTTGTTAGAGAGGCTTCTGACTGGCCAGGCAGGCAGCTGAAGCACTCTGTGGGACTGATTTGTGGCGTATTTGGGAAGGTCTCCAGTCTAGGGGCTATAGAGAGCCCCGAATTTGAGCAATTCGCCCTGAGCAGACGCCCTCAGCTGTGCCCAGACCCGGCCCGGTCCGTCACAATGTCAATGATCAATAATATTATGTTGTATATTTTCATTCATGCTAATGGGCATTCTTATACAGCTCTTGTTGACCACCTGTTCTAAATTTTTGATGGAGTTCTTTGAAAATAATACTGACCTAGATTGTGCTTGGTCCTGTAAACATTAGCTTCCCTCCCTCTCTGAACCCCACTAATTTTTCAGAATAGTTCATATTGTGTTAAAATACATTTTTACAAACACATAGGATAGCTCACCTGCAGGAGAAACATGAGGACAACTGCTCATTTTTAACAGTTTGAGTGTATCACTGTTATTAGCCACTAGTACTTTGAGGGATGGATCATCTACTGGCGTATCATCTATTTTAAGTGAAGAGAGGGATTTGGAGTTTACAAACACCACTGTCAGTGCAGAGATAAAGTGTGACTGCAGAAAGGAGAAAAACAGTAAAAGTGAAGCAGAGATATGGAACATTTCAAACATTTTCAAAACAATGTTTCTTTCCATCTTCACATACAAACTAAAAATGTAGGCTAATACCTACTGCAGTATTTAACATTACTGCATCCATTTGATTTCAACAAATATCAAAAGGTAATACTAACCAGTAAAACATTTGACCAAGTTGAGCTGTGTGTGTGTGTTTTTAAGATCAAGTTTTAGTTTGTGTTATAAATCCTTAACTTTGGATGGTCATTGATAATGTTCAACATTAAAGTCAGGAACAGGGACCAAAAAAAAAAAAAAACCACAAAAAAACAAAAAAACATGGTGCTCTAAATTTCAAAGTATCCTATACACGTGCACAAATTCAATAGTGGACCTAAAAGTCCTATTAATATAAAGTTCTAAAAGAACAGATTAGATATTAAACTAACAAGAACAGATACAACATTTGAGAAAGCGCTGAAAATTATTTGTAAAGCGTGCTTCCAAGGCAACATCCTCCAGACTCAAACAAAGATAAACTGCAACATATTAAGATTTGTTAACACTAACAACAAAGTCTAACTTTAGCAAAAACTTAAGTGTGAAATTAAAATTACTGAAATAAGAAGATGCCAGAATTTAAGACTAGACAGGAACACCACCCCCTGTTTCACAGGCCAGATTTATAACTGTGAAGCATCTTCCAAACGTGCAAACAAATTTTTTTAACCTGTTTTGTAACCAGCGGTTTGCAACATGTCTGAGCATGGACAAGTGCCCATGCTAAAAAATTTTAATGTCAATGGCCATAGACCTCAATTTTTGCCATGGGGACACTCACCTCAGGCAGTTCCTAGCAAGCAGCCCTCAGTCCTTGCTGTTGCAGGCTAGGCAGCGCTGTATGCTGCCTCCGTCCCTCCTCCACCACCCTCCCTCCAAGTGCTTACTCCATGGATCTCAGCCAATTGGCTAGGAACCACAGCC